GAGGAAATGGAAATAATCTGAATGTCTATCAATAGGGGACTAGCTAGATCATGAAAATCCATATGATGCAATAGTAAGCAAGGCCATGTAAATGCATAGGGAAAGGTCCAGGAGACTGTGAACCACGGTGTCGGAGGTTCGCTGACCTCTGGAGAAGGGCACTGTCACATTTTACTCTATGAATTCTACATTTTTCATGACAGCCATGCATTCTTCTATTATTTGAATAATTAAGTAAATTGTTTAATAGAAAAGAAAAAGTAGAAAATGCAAGACTACATATTCTCTTTAACTATCCTAAAAGCTGGACACAGGCCATAAAAACTTGTCCAATGAGATGAAACCTGTTTATACCGCCCCAGGTTGGTATCAGAGTTATCACCGATCTTTCCCTCAAAATAATGTAACATTACAGGGCAAAGGGCCACTGGGCGTGGAAAATAAGTTCTCCAATTTGATAATGGGTTTGGTTCAATTGTTTTAAAAAGATAAATCTCTGTTCCATCTCTCTGGCCCTCTTTCACCTGGGTCTATTTCAATTTAAATTAATAACAATAAAATTAAATTAAAACTCAGCTTCTCAGCCATACCAGCCACTTTTCAAGTGCTCAAGAGTTAGTGGCTCTCGTGTTATATAGCGCAGATCCACAACACTCTTCAGAATATTGCAGAAAGTTCTCTTGGACAGGGCTGCTTTACATCATGCTTACTTTATTGAATATTGATGATCAAGTACAGTTGAGTCCCCTATAAAATCTTTCTTATGAGGAAGGAGGTTATGATGTGTGAAGATTCACAAACAGAAACTTCTCTTGTAGGATGTAATCTAAAGAAAGAAGACTAGCAGCAGCTCTGGGATCTGATTCCAGTTTTGAGTAGCAGTGTGACCTTGGGTGAGTCACTGAACTTCTTTTCTCATTTGCATAGTTGACATTTGCATAGCTTCCATTTTTATCATTTGCATAGTGTATATTTGCATAGCTTTCATTTTCTCATTTGCATAGTGGACATTTGAACACCTACCCAACAATCCCTCTGAATTGTTTTTGCAGAAAACATGAGCTCAGAGATTAAGTGCACTTTTTCCAAATCAAATGCCATGGACAAGTTCAAGGCTTTCTACCTATCTATTCAGAAAAGTGGAAGCTCAATGACATGGCATTTTAATACCAGTAACTTTCAGAAAGATACTTCTATTTATCTGTATTTCATAAATATCTACAGCAGTGGTTCTCAACTGGGGCCAATTTTGTCTCCAGGGAACATTTGACAATGTCTGGAAACATTTTTGGTTGTCACAACTGGAAGGGGGTGTGCCACTGGCATCTAGTGGGTACAGACTAGGGATGCTGCCCGACATCCCACAAGCACAGGACAGCCCCCACAACACAGAACTATCTGACCCCAAATATCAACAATGCCAAGGTTGAGAAACCCTGTTCTAGAAGGCAGACATGGCCACCTTTCATAGCTGCAATCTTACTTGCAGAAAAAAGTGGGATGAAAAAATTAAAACACGCCCACAAAATCATTTTTTTAGAAGATGATACAAAACCTTTCAGAACTACTGTAAGAGCAATGAAATTAATTCAATTTTAGAGCAGGGGGTGTTAACCTGGGATTCACAGACTTTTAAGGGATTTCAGGGAATCTGCATATGTCCATGTACATGGTGTACGTGTGTACATGTGAGTCTGTTTTCTGTGTGTAATTTCTGAGGAGTGGACACAACTTTCATCCACGTAGTCTAGCACCCCAAAATGTTAAGGTTTTCAGTGTCAGAGCAATTAGATAAATTCTATCTAGGTTCGTTTTCACTGAAACTTCGTTCTGTGGGGGAACTCAGTAAATATTTTGCTACGGGTCAGTATGAAGGTCACAAGGACTGGGAAAAGGCCAATGGCTGGAAGTGACAAAGCATGTTTCCTGTCATGCTAGCAGGGGTGAGTGGACATTGTCCTTGCTGATGAGATAATCACAAATCCTACTTCTTTTACTGGTACATGTGTCAACACTTGTGTTTGGCTCTCACTGTGGACATCCAGGAAACTGATCTTTAAATCAACCAATTTTCAGTATATTGAGGGTCCAAACAAAAGATCATGTTAAATACTTACAGTGCCGGAAAGCAAGTCTATGATATAACTGTAAAAGTAAATGAGTCCAGAGCTACTTATTGGATACGCTGTACATTGTATATCTGCAAAAAACAAAAACAAAAACATCAGTAGAAATAGTTTTACAGTCTCTGTAACTTGTCTGGTTATCACAATTTGTGTATAAGCAAGTACAGTCATGCACTGCTTAATAATGGGGACTCGTTCTAAAAAATGGAGTTGTTACATGATTTCAGCATCGTGCAAACATCAGAGTGTGCTCGCACAAACCTAGATGACATAGCATACTACACACCGAGGCTATATGGTATATAGCCTATTGCTCCTGGGTTCCAAACCTGGACAGCATATTACTGTACTGAATACTATAGGCAAATGCAATACGATGATACATATTTGTGTAGCTAACCATAGAAAGGTACAGTAAAAATACAGTATTGTAATCTTATAGGTCTACTGTTGCATATGTGGTCTGTTGTTGAATGAAACAACATTATATGGCACATGACTATACATATATATATACACACACATATTTAGATATGTCATATATTTGCATGTTTGTATATGGATGTGTTTGTGTATTTGTGATTTTCTATGTGTAGCCCAAACCCCAATATGTCAAATACAGTAGCATTTCCTCCTATTTCTATTTTCTTCTATTTCTATTTTTAGTATTTCCTTCACTGGTCTCTCTAAATATTTGGGGATATATGCCTTTTCTATATATTTTGTGTGTGGATCCATATATAAAACATATTTTCTGCTTGTGTGTGTGTTTTGTAGTTTTGGGTTCATGTTTGCACATGTTTCGGGATATGTGATTGATACAATTGATATCCCACTTTAAGTACATCTAATATAGAAAGACTTCTATGTGTGTGTAAACATAATTTTAAAAAATGCATATATTTACATACATATAATTATCTAGGAAATTTTTTGAACACCAGTTTTAGTGACACTATCTTATGCTTGAACAACTCACTTCCTGTCTGTATCAGACAGCTATGGCTGTGTAACAAACCACCTCAACGTCTCAGTGACTTAAAACCCCAAACATCTATATTTTCATGCATGGGTTTGCAGTTTGAGTTTATTCAGCTGATTTAGGCTGAACAATAATGGACTCCACATTTCTAGGTGAGCTCCTCCTGTTCCCAAATAGTTGAGATCTGTTCTATGTGACTTCATTCTGGGGCCCAGGCTGAAGAGGAAATGGTCCCTGGGGACTGTTCTTCTCATGGTAGGTCACAGGGACAAAATCGGGCAAGCCACCCTCACAAAGACATTTCAAGCTAACTCTTCCCTAGACAAAACGAGTCTCATGGCCAAGCTCAATACCAAGCTCAACGAGGCAGGAAACAGTCTCTACCCACAGCGGAAGGCCCTGCAAAATCACAAGTACAGGGGAGGGACAAATTGGGAAAAATAACCCAATCTACCACCCCTTCTCTGGGCCTTAGTTTCCTCTTTGTTAAAATAAGGGAGTTGAACCAGTTCCTCCAAGGCCATTTTCAGCTCAGTTCCGCTGTAATTCTAACATGCAAAACTCTTCCCATTTGAAACACTTGGGAACGCCAGATGATCTGACTTGTGTTGAGAATTCAGTAAGAAAACCCAAGTTTAGCACTTGTCGTAATGTCTGGCACACGACTGGTGTTGAGTAAATGGTGCCTTTGAGCATCACACTTATCAGAGATAAAAATCTTGAAATAAAGTCGCTGGGCTAGACTGTATTATGTTTGCTAAATAGTCTACTTTCCTACCCTGCATTGCTCCTTCCAAATGCCCTGATGCACTCTACAGTGGCCAAGTGACTTGCATCGGCCAATGAGATGTGGCAGAAATGCTGTGTGTATCTCCAGGCAGAAGCTTCAGGAGCTAGCACAGCTTTGTCCTTGGCCACTGTGACTATCGGTGGTCCAGATAGAGGTTGCTCCATTAGCTTGGGCTCCAGAGTGAAGACCACCAAGCCACAATGGACATAGGCTACGATTGAGACATAAACCTTTGTGGTTATTAGGCACTGAGTGTGATGGGGTCATTTGTTTCTGCAGCATAACCTAGCCCATCCTGACTAATACAGTCACCCAAGACTTAGAACAAAGATTCCTAGCACAGGAAGCATTATAGAGAGGTACACGGCAAAAAGAACACGCTTCATAGAAAACCAGTCCTTGGACTCACCCATGTCTTTGAATGGAATGAGCACAAAGCTGCTGTTGGTGATCTTGTATTTGGTAAGAAAGATTGGGAGCAAAACCAGCATAAAGATGATCAGAAATATCACCAAATTCAGCAACACCAGGAACCGCAAGAAGGAGAAATAGGACTGAATCCCAGTGCCAAATTTCCCTGGAAAAAAGAAATTCAGACATCATTGACCAGAACTATTGACCCACTACATGTAGATTCCGTCAGCCACAGAGAGCTGAAGCCAGAGGTGGAAGATGGGAGGAAAAAATATTTTATTTTTTCTACCACTGGCTTTAAGCCTCTACTTCCTAGTGGATTAACTTTTCATGTGTAGATCTACAATCTTGAATTAATTATTTGAGAATGGAGTGAGGGAGGGCTCCATATTTATTTTCTCTCATAGGAATAAGATGAGCCTCCACCCCATTTATTGATTGTCTTTTGGGGAAATCACTTGATCGTATATGTATGAATCTGTTTCTTAACTCTACCCTGTTCCATGGGTCTACCTATCTATCCTTGCATCAATACTAGACTGCTTTATTTATTCCAGATTTATAATAAGACTTCATATATAGTACTATATGTCTTTCACCTTTGTCTTCCTCAAGATTGTCCTAGGTATCCTTTGCCTTTTGCATTTATATTCAAACATTTGAATCAGTGTATTAATTTTCACACACACATACACACACACACACACACACACACACACATATACCCACATACCATCTGCTGAGATTCTAACTGCAATTACATGAAATACATAGGTCAATTTGAGGAGAAGTGACATCTTTTTATATTTTGAGTCTTCTGATCCATGAACATGGTATATTTAGGTCTTATTTAGTTTCTCTCAATAATAGTTTATAGTTTTCTGTGCAGAATTATTGCATATCTTTCTTGAGATATATTCTTAGGTATCTGACATTTTCTGATGCCACTGTAAATTGTATCATTTAAAAAATTTCATTTTCTAAATGTCTGTTGGTGGTATATGGAAATACGATTAGTGGACTTTGTTAAATTAACAATTAACCATGTTAAATTAACATGTTAATTTTAATAGTTGTCATTTTTATTTTCTACCTATATATCATGTCATCACAACAAAAAATGGCATTTTATTTCTTCCTTTCCAATTACTGTCCCTTTTACCCCCACCATATTGCCTTGGACAGGACTTCCAAGATGATGCTGAGTAGAACCTGAAATAATTAGCATCTTTTTCTCATTCTCAACCTCAGGGGTAAGGCTTTCAATATTTCACCATTAATATGATGTTTGCTGTAGAATTTTCACAGATATTTTTTATCAGATTAAGAAAGATCTCATCTATTTATTTGGTAAGAATGAGACCCGAATTTTATCAATACTTTTTTTCTGCATCTGTTGGGATGATAATCTAATTTTTCTCCTTTATTCAGTTGTTGTGGTGAAGTACATTGATTGATTTTCAAATGCAAAACCATCTTTCCACTAGATAAGGATTAAATTGCTAAGGACAGAGAGCAATTTTGAAGAGCAAGGGTGTCTGCTTGTTCTCAGTGGGGGCCAAGAACTTATCTGCAGAGATGGAAGATATAAGATAGCCATAGTCTTTGTCTCTCTTTAATATTCAGCAACTGCCAGAGACAGGAAGCTTGCTTATCCCCTGGCACTCATGCCCGGTGAGCACCCAGCTGGCCAACAAATCAGACAGAGCAACTGAGGAGAAAATCAAAGTCCCAGTTCCCAGGGAGAACCTGTCCTCTACCATACAAGCCACTTTCTGAATGACAATCTCCAGAAAGGCCACTACTTAAAAAGGAAGCTGGACAGAGTGGCTAAAATCCTGGACTCTGAAGTTTGAATGCCTGGGTTCAAACCCTGGCTCTGCCTCATTCCAGCTGAGTGAACGTGGGCAAGATCTTAACCTCTCTGAGCCAGGCAAAGGGTGAGTTCCTATAGGAAGGGTTCTTGTGAGGATTAACTGAAGTAATATGAGTAACATGCTTAACGCAATGCCTAGTTCATATGAATGCTCAATAAAAGTTAGCTTTTATTATTTTGCTCCAAACATGATGTTACACTTAAATCTCAAGACAAAAAGTATGAGTGCATGGTTGAAGTTTTAAGTGAGCCTATGAAACCCCTAGAAATATGTCTACACTCTCCTAATAAAACAACAATAACAAAAAAGGTAGTTCAGGCAAGGCACAGTGGCTCATGCTTATAATCCCAGCACTTTGGGAGTCTGGGGCAGGAGGATCGCTAGAGGTTAGGAGTTTTAGACCAGCCTGGGCAACACAGCCAGACCCCATCTGTATGCAAAATTAGTCCCAGCTCCTTGGGAGGCTGAGGTGGGGAGGATCGCTTAAGCCCAGGAGATGCGGGTGCTGCAGTGAGCTATGATGACACTACTGCACTCTAGCCTGGGCAACAGAGTGAGATCTTGTTTCAAAAAAAAAAAAAAAAATTCATTGAATGGATTACCAATGGGTATTTTATGGGTTTTTAAATAATAATAATGGGGGGAAACCACTTCTTCCATTTATCCTGCCATGTTCCTTATAAACTTTACAAAATTTCCATTTTAGAAGTTTTGAGGAGATGCTTAAAAAATGTTTTGCTCGATGGCAGAAAACATATACTCCTAGGAGGATCTTCCCCTCTTGCTCTGCTATGTCACCAAAATGTTTAAGGTTTCTTTCTAATTTTATATTTTGGCATGACTTTCATTTTTTGTATACTTGCTGTGGACTGAATTGTATCGCCACCCCCAAATTCATACGTTGAAGCCCTAACCACCAATGTGATGGTTTTTGGAGATAAGCCTTTGGTAGGAAGTTAGGGATACAAGAGGTCATGAGGGTGGGGCCCTCATGATGGGATTAGTGTCCTTATAAGAGACACCAGAGAGCTTTTGCCTTCTCCCCAACACACACACAGAAGAGGTTATGTGAGCACACAATGAGAAGGCTTGTTCCAGCCTCCAGAACTACAAGGGAGAAAAACTTCTGCTGTTTAAGCCACTCAATCTATGGCATTTTATCATGGCAGCCCAAGCAGACTAACACGATACTATCTCCCAAATTCTCACCATTATGAGAACATGGGGATTCTTAGTATCTTCAGGGTCACGGGTACCCTTTCTTTGGCTGTCTGGTGAAGCCGATGAATCTCATCTCAGATAATGTTTTTAAAGGCATAAAATACAAACAGACATAGAGTTATCATCATATTAAAAACCATATTTGTGGCCAGGCGCGGTGGCTCACGCCTGTAATCCTAGCTCTCTGGGAGGCCAAGGCGGGCGGATTGTTTGAGCTCAGGAGTTCGAAACCAGCCTGAGCAAGAGCGAGACCCCGTCTCTACTAAAAAATAGAAAGAAATTAATTGGACAACTAAAAATATATAGAAAAAATTAGCCGGGCATGGTGGCGCATGCCTGTAGTCCCAGCTACTCGGGAGGCTGAGACAGGAGGATCGCTTGAGCCCAGGAGTTTGAGGTTGCTGTGAGCTAGGCTGATGCCACGGCACTCACTCTAGCCTGGGCAAAAGAGTGAGACTCTGTCTCAAAAAAAAAAAAACAAAACCATATTTGTGATAGAATAACATATGAATACCTTCACTGGTACATTAAATAACAACATCTAGTGGCAAGTCTAATAATGACCTTTCTAATACATTTCAAAGCAGTGATGTGCGTAAAAGGTTTTCTAAGATAACTACAACAGCCGGAAAGGACAGGAAAAGATCCACGATTTTTGCTGATGATGAAGACCCATGTTCTACCAAGCCTAACGGTGGTTTGCGGCTCACATTCATCACAGCGGCAAAGGATATGCTCGATTTCAGCTAGTGCTTAGTGAAAACGAAGCTGTACTTTTCCCCCAGACACAGAGAATTCCGCACAGGAGACTGCACGGAATTTGGGGTGCGGTACCTTCTATGCTGCGGATGTCCTCCCGCCACAGCTCCAGGTGGGTTGTCATCTCGTGAGCCTTCTCCAGGAATCTCTTCCAAGACTTGCTGCTATACCGTTTCCACTGGTCCCACTCGGATAGATACTTCATCTGGGTCTCCTGAATGTCTCTGCATTAAAAACACGATCACAACAATGACAACAGGCAACATCATCGCGTCTCTGCATCCAGTAAAACCCCAACTGAGAGGATGGGAAAAAACCAGAGCCTTCCTACATTGCTGTTGGGAATGTAAAATGGCACAGCCACTGTGGAAATCAGTTTGGCGGTTCCTCAAAACGTTAAACATAGAATTACCATATGACCCTGCAATTCCACTGCTAGGTAAGTGCTCAGAAGAATTGAAATCAGGCCGGGCGCAGTGGCTCACGCCTGTAATCCTAGCATTCTGGGAGGCCAAGGTGGGAGGATTGCTTGAGCTCAGGAGTTCGAGACCAGCCTGAGCAAGAGCGAGACCCCGTCTCTACTAAAAAATAGAAAGAAATTAATTGGACAACTAAAAATATATAGAAAAAATTAGCCGGGCATGGTGGCGCATGCCTATAGTCCCAGCTACTCAGGAGGCTGAGGCAGAAGGATCGCTTGAGCCCAGGAGTTTGAAGTTGCTGTGAGCTAGGCTGACGCCACGGCACTCTAGCCTGGGCAACAGAGTGAGACTCTGTCTGAAAAAAAAAAAAAAAAATTAAAAAAAAGAGAAGTGCATTTTAATTTTATGGCTCACCATCATTTACCGACTAAAAAGCACATTCTTCAGGCTGGAAAGAGAAGGCGCCAGGGCCTGAGGGTGAGAGAGGGAAAGCCAAGCATCTAGTGAGGCTAGAGCACAGTGTTAAGTGTGGGGGTGTGGACCACCCCACCTTCACCGGCATGCAGCAGGGAGTCCGCCCTGCCCCACGGCATGGCCCTGGCCAGCCCTCCATAGCACGTGGCACACACCTCCTCCTTCCCCCCAGTCAGTCCTCCTCCAGCAGACAGGGAGCTCCTGCCAAGGGAAGGGCTTTGAACCTTCCAGTCAAACAAGCCTCTTTGTGCTATGCCTCAGTTTCCTTATCTGTAAATTGGGCTTAATAAAGTACCTACGCTTAGACCAGTGGTTCTCAACTGGGACGATTTTGCTCCCTATATCCTTGCCAGGGGACATCAGGCAATGCTTGGGGACATTTTTGATTGTCACAACTGGGGAGAGGGGAATGTGCTCCTGGCATCTAATAGGTAGAGGCTAGGGATGCTGCTAAACATCCCACAGTGCACAGACAGCCTCCCCTACAGGGAACTATCTAGCCCCAAATGTCAACAAGTGATAGTGCCAAGGTTTGAAAACCCTGCCTCAGAGGGTAGATATGGAGATTAAAGGAAAGAAAGAGCTTGGAATAACACCTGGCTGGATGTCAGTGCTCAATAACTGTTAGCCACTAGTATTATCACCCTCGTGTCCTTTTCTTTGCCAAGTTCCAGGGATGTGCTGGTAAACCAGGTAGGTGTGGCCCCTGATCTCATGAGTCTCCTAGTGTCCTTTTTCCAACTAGCTTGGAAGCCCCTCGATAGAAGAAAATCTGTCTCCCTTTTGGGCGTGGAAAAATCTGGTGTAGAGCAGTAGTGGTATTTTATAAGAATTCAAAATATGAATCTGAAAGAGTGGGAAATGAAATACATTCATAAAGTCTTACTTTATTCACATATTTCTTGAGAATACAAGTGTCCCCTCCTCCAAACTGAAAATAAAAATTACCCAAGATGACATGTTTTCAAAGCTAGAAGGCACAGTGCCTCATGCCCATCTTTATGCCACTACCTCTGGGTAGCCCCCATTACAGAGTTAAGCAGAAATACCCCTCTCTGTCATTATATCAAGTTAATGGGCAAATTATGTTTTGAATTCTGCAAGAACGGAGGAGATGGCAAGCTACCACCGAAATCCCCTCTCCCCTTCTCTGGCACTAGCTGGAGACATTTCCCAGCCTTCCTGGCAGTGAGGTTTGGCCATGTGACCCAATTCTCTCCAGTAGAAATGTAAGTAGAAGTGATATGTCCAACTTTCAGGCTTAGCTCATAAGCTCCCCTGATTGCTCTATCAATGTGTGCATGCCCTGTTGCCATGTGACTTTGCAGCTCTTCCCAGTAGGAGGAGGAATCTCTTTTCCCACTGATTGAATCTGGACTGGCCTTGTGATCTGCTCAGACCACAGAATGCAGTAGAAGTGTTGCTGTGCCGGTTCTAAGCCCAGCCACGGGAGGCCTCTGCACCTCTCTTGGACCCCAACTGTCACCATATAAGCAAGCATGAGCTAAGCTGACAGAGGATGATACCATGTGATCATCCCAGCCAAGGCCATCCCAGACCAGCTTATGGCCAGCTGACCCCCAGCCTACATCAGAAGAGCCACCTGCCCAATCACAGCCAACTACAGATATATAGAGAGCCCAGCTGAACCTAGAGGAATTGGCCAGCTAACTTATAGACTTGTGAAACTGTTGTTTTAGGCTACTAAATTGTGGGTGCTTTATTATGCTGCGTAGCTAACTGGTGTACACAACCTTCATACTTTCCCTTTCTACTGGATAAATGCAGACAAAAATGAGCCTTTGGGGAGGGGGTGCAGAGCCACAAGATGGAAGGAGCCTGGGTCCCTGAATGGCTGCCAACTCCTCTACTGACCTGAACCTAGTTCTTTACGTGAGCAAGAAATAAACTTCTAATATGTTGACCTATTGCATGTTTGGGTATCTTTGTCACAGAGGCTTAGATTACCCTACGGAGTAAAATTTTAATTATGTTAGCTCTTTAGGAAATGCATTCCATGCATAAAATGCACCTCTGCCCATAACATACATTAGGCGGTTTCCAGGTGGCTATCAAACAAACCTTAGTCTCCGCTTCTCAGAGATGTTCAGTGCATACTTTCGAATGGATTGGCTATTGAGGTTCTCAGTGATTCCTCCCTCCAGATGGGAGCTGTAAGAGTCTGTCGGTTTCAGCAAAGTGCCACTTTGCCTGTCCCGGGAAAGGATGGCCGTCCTCCTGCGTGCGACGGACCGGTAGCTTGGCAATTCTTGAAGGAAGTTCACAGCTGGAGAGGAGAAGCAACTCGAATCCAGAGACGGGTTCTCTGGGAAAAAGAGAAGAAAGCCATGATTCACTCCAGGAAGGCTGGGAGCCAAACCGCAAAACTCACATAGGAGACTTGGATCTTGGGCACCGTAACTAAACATTGCAGATAGTCACCAGCCTGGGCCAGTGATGGGAACATTTGGATCTTATTTTATTTACCAGGATGGTGCTCGTGGCAAAGAAATCATCTGCAAATGGGTTCGTTTTCTGCAGATGTGTTTGTAAACATGCTTTAAATTGTATGATATCTGATTTCTAGTGTTTGCCTGCAGCCACTACCTAAAAATGTGGCATTGGGCAAGTTTTCTAAACTATGTTTTTAATTTGTCAAATGGGGCTTGTAATATTTGCTCCAAGTATCCTCACACAGTATAGAGTATGATAACACATGCAATAAAACTTTGAAAAGCATAAAGTGCTGTGCAAATGCATGGTGATAACAACATTGGCGACAATAATAACAGCATTTACTGAGCATTACCCGTGTGTCAGGCACTGTATTAAGAACTGCACACGTACTCATGGGATTTGGGCTGGCCTTGTGACCTGCTTGGGCCGACGGAATACAGTATACATGATGCTATGCCATTTCTCAGCCCAGCCTTAGGAGGCCTTGCGTGCTTCTGCTCCTCTCTGCAGCCCAGCTAGTACAAGCGTCAGCTACCCTGCTGGAGGATGACACCATATCCCAGCTGAGACCACCCCAGGCCTTCAGAAAGCCGACCCCCGAAGGGAGGAGCCAAGATGGCGGACGAGAAAAGCCACCAGTCCGAATGTCTCTGCAAAAAAGACACATTTTAGAAGAAAGAGAAAAAAGTAAACTAGGAGAGAAACATAGATCGGGTGAGGGTTGGAAGGAAGGGTGCCTGAAACTACAGGAGACTCCACGGGAAGACGTGCCGAAGAAAAATGGAAAGAAAAAGGGCCCCAAAAGCCTGGAAAACCGCCAAAAAGGGAAGGGGAACCGGTAAACTCCCCCCCCCCCGCAACCCCGAACGCCAGGGGGCCCCCGAACCACCGGAAAAAACCGCCCAAAAAAACCCAAAAAACGCCGCCCCCAACCAACAAGGGCCCCCTGCCGAACCAACCCCCGGCCCCCCAGCCCCCTGGGGCAACCCCCCCGGGCGCAGACCCGAGCCTAGCGGCAGACTCCATAGTGCTCCGTTCTCTCCTTCCCCCTCCCTACCCGTGCGTGCCCAGAGAGAC